GCCATGTCGGACATGGCGGCCGATATTGCGGATTCGGAGCCTAGCCGCCACGAAATTGTTGAATTTAATGCGTATGGCGTTTTTGAGGTCATGTCGGGGACATGTCGGAAAATAGCGGATATATCGGGTGACATTTTGGTCATCAAATATCGGCCAAAATTCAGAAATATCGGTTTCACATTGACATGTTGAAATCATATGATTTGCAATATCTTTCACCTTCTATTTATGTAAAGTTTCACATTGTTTCCCATCCACTACCCATATGGGTGCTTGTTGTAGGTTTTAATTACTTGTTATTGCATGTGTTTTCTTTATAATGGAAGGCTATAAGAACACATGAATTTATTTGTATTAGGTGCACATATACTTCGGTTTTACTAGTTTCTTGTTTGGAGAAATGACAGATATATAATAAAAATCCTGTAATTGTTAGTCGATGCAGTTAAGTAGTTTAGAATAGCAATTACGAGTTTAATTTTCAATTTCAGTAGAATTTTCTTTTTGTTCCTACTAGTATAATGCACGCGCTTTGTATGTGAACATTTTTTTTGTAATCTTTTTCTTTGAGTGTAAAATTATGAAGTGACTTTTATTAACAAAGTTATCGATAGCGGATAGCGTCGCGTAGCGGTGAGGCATCGCTAAGGCTATTTCGGGCTATTGCGGTAAAATAGCGGTAAAAAGCGCAAAGTCAAATAGCGGTCTAATTTAGATATGTATAAATACTAAAAAAATAAAGAAAAATCTAAGAAATCTTAAAGTACATATTGGATGATTTAAAGTGATCATAAATATAAAATAGACATGTAACCGTCACGTAATACCGAAGATGACTGGAGGAGTCAAAAAATCGTCGTCTTCGAGAAGAAGAGCTTAGCGGTGATAGGACTGCCCTAAGAGGAGCTCACGGTGAAGAAGGTGAGAGAAAGTATCAAGGTAGGTACCAGAGTAGGTGCTAAAGGCTATGAGAGGTGGCGGGAGTATGCTGAAAATCACAGGAGACGGTGAAATGCAATGATCAAGGGTTGAGTTTAATTTTAAAAAATAAGCCTCAAACCGCTTTTAAATAGCAGTCAAAAAGCAAATTTCGAATGTAATCGCTTACTATTTACCGTTATGATACACTATTGGCCGCTTTTGCGAACAGACATATTCCGCAATATGTCATCATTATTGTGCGATAGCGTAGCGGGCGATAGCGTCGCGGGAAGAGACCGCTAATGCTATTAGCGTCGCTATTGCGGGGCTATTTATCGCTATTTATAACAGTGCTTTTATAATAACATAAATTCTTAAATTGAACAATTAATAAATCTTTACATTAATAAATAAAGTTGTGTATAAAGAATTGTATTAGTAATTTTTATATTCTGGATAATTATTATACTTTAATAAGAATTGTCTAAACATATGCAGTTAAGCTGTTCTAGTGTCTATTTGGTTTTCTATGCAAAAGCAAAAACTTGGTGGTTGCTTGTGAAAATGAAGACCTTCTCATATGTACTTTTTCATATGTTTAGACAATATAATTATCATGTGAAGATTCCATTTATGATATTATATCAACCTATCCGATATGGCAATCCGATATTTTTTTCATGTCCCCCGATATATCCCCGATTTCCGCTATCCGACATGAATTTTGGCCGAGCGACATGAACCCGACATCCGATATTTAAAACCTTGAGTACATGCTTTTTAAGTTTTAAACAAATTAAAGATGCTCAAACATTCGATGTGGGACTATTTTATTTTTGCAAACAAACACCACCAAAAATCCCCCCACTTTGTTTGGAAAAACAAGATGTTTGAAAAAACACTTTATTTACAAATAGTCTGCAACTATTACCAATGATAAAAGTATACAAATGTAGAGGTATCTTTAGATTTCAATCTTGTTTCTATGAGGACCATTAAATATTCTAGCACCATCATGGCCTTCTGCTTATTACAAATTCATGAATTCTCTAAAGAACAAACATTTTACTCTTGTAAGAAGAAGCACCACTTCTAAGTTAAGATAGGTGAAACATCTACAATATGTTTTCCATTATTTTAAACACACGACATTTATGTGTTAGACTTTCATTAGACGTATAGCTCATCCACTAATTTCGTAATGGATGATATTGACTTATCTTTAAGGGCTTAATGCGTTAGTATCACCCGAAAACTTGTTATTATCTATTTAAACATTTTGATTTGCACAATTCTGCTAAATGGTCAGGTTATCATTCCTGGTGATCTTAAAAATAAGGTTTTAGTCCCATTTCGCTTGATGTCATCTTCACTACCTCTTGCTAGACGTTTTGTAAATGAATCAGCCATTCCTACGTCTTATCATAGACTATTGTTATGGCTGTAGGGGTGCTAAACCGTATCCGTATCCGAGAAAATATCTGTAACCGTATCCGTTAGGATGCGAATATGGTTGCTTAAATCTATAACCGATAGGATGTGGTTATGGATATGGTTTTATAGTGAAATATCCGTATGTGTATCCGAAATATCCTAATACATATTAGTCATACTCTTACGATAGTTTCGATTCTTAAATTATGGATTTGTGGTTAATTTTGATGATCAAGATGTCTAATCTTAGTTTTTTAGTTATAATGAACTTATTAATGACCTCTTTTGTATCACATGAACTATGTTTTTCTCAATGCTATCTAGTTTTCTCATATCCGTTTTGTATCCGCATACATATCCGCTTATATATCCTCATCTATATCTGTAACCGTATCCAATTTTTAGCGGATATGGATATGAATATGAATTTTTCTTACCGATGTATATCCATATCCGTATCCGTATCCGAGATGGGTAAGCGGATATGGATATGATAAACATCATATTTGAGTCGTATCCGGACCGAATGCACCCCTAGTTATGGCACTATCTTGTATCAATTATCTTACATATTCATGTCTTAGACTTATTTGTCTATACTTACCATTATAGGTACAACTATAAGCTATTGACAAAGTGACTTAACTATCACAAAGGATAGATATTAGAGATATTGGACTTAGGACTGCGCAATTTTCTGTTGAAACCGATAAAACTGACCGAAGCAACCAATTTCCAACAGTTTGGTGCGGTTCTATGATCTTACTAGTTAGGTTCAGCTCCGATTTTCTCAATTGAGTATACACCAAACCGACCATTTACTATACCCACATTCAATTGCATCCACTCAACTACACATCCATCCCCTCTCCTCTAGGCTCACTAAAATACACCATGTGATTGAACAACTAATAATAACTATCTCCCATAAAAGTAGAGAGAAAAAGCAACTCGGTTTTGTTCTCTTCTCAAATACCGATCAAACCAAAGTCATAAATTTCTCTCCTCTTACTATTCAGGAGGGAGGCATCATACCAAACTAAACTCTATCCCTTATCACCTATCTTCGACTTCTTCTTCTTTAGTCCTCACATTCCTTTGACCTCATCTCATCATTAATGGCTAGTACTTCATGGGTTCTACGATAATTGAAATAAACAACTGAACCAAGCCGAAATAATTCGGTTTTGTTTGGTTCAGTTTCATTTCTACATTGGGTCGGTTCAGCTTCGTCAAAAATGATTAAAACGGACTGAACTAGCAATTTGCTCACCCCCTAATTGGACTAGGTCATAACTTAAATCTCCACCAATAAGTTTATAATCCTTTAACCTGTTTACCATTTGTTGTCAGAGCAATGAACTCAGATTCTATGGTGGATTGTGGGATATACGTTTGTGACTGTGCCTTGCTCACCCAAGAAGTTGCTCCTCCACCAAGTGTAAATACCAGTTCATAAGTGGATTTATTGTTACTACTTGTCGTCCAACTTGCATCGGTGCATCCTACTATACATATGGAAAATCATTACAAAACAAACTTAGATTTTTGGTTTTCTTTAAATACCTAAAATCCTTCAAATACTTTTCCAATGATCTATACGTGGATTACTAATGTATTTACTTGGTTTGCAAATAGTAAATGCAATATCAAGTTTAGTACAATACGTAACATACATCAATGAACCTATTCCACTAGCATACTGAAGTTATGCTACAGCCCTACCAGAATTGGTTGTCAACTTGATACTAGGATCAAATGGAGTGTTAACTTCTTTAAGGCCAAGATGATTAAATTTGTTCAACATCTTTTCGATATAATGTAATTGGCTTAAAGAAAACCCCTGCTATTTTGTCAACTTTAATCCCCAAAAGAGTATACATTTCTCCTAAAGTTTTCATTTTAAACATAGAAGATAGACACTCTTCTATCTCATTTATGCCAATCATGTTATGGATTGTTGGTATTTGCTTGTAAAAATAAAATAGTTTCACATCGGATATTTGAACATCATTTAACTGGTTTAAAAGCATATAATAAGTATTGAACTTCGATAAATGAGCCAAGACTTAAGACCACTAAGTCTGCATGCAGATAGCATGAATAATGCATGATTTTAATGTGATTATTAGATGCACTTACCATTTTTCACGCTTAAAGCTGTTGCTCAATTTTCATTTTATTTTTATTGTAGTGTTATTATTTTTGGAAATTATTTTTAAATTTGAAATTTAATAAAATCAACAGATAAATCTGTTGGAAGTTGACTGTAGAGATTTCAAAAGGTTTAGCCGTTGGAAATTGACTATTGGAATTTCAAAAGGTTAACATTTGAAAGTTGACTGCTAGGATTTCAAAAGGTTTGGCCATTGAAAATACGACCATTGAAAACACCTTTTCGATCCTATAATTAGGACCATCTCCAAACTTCAAAACCCATTTCTTTCTCAAATTTTTTCTTTCAAACACCTGCAAACCTATGAAATGGTTTCACAGAGAATTGGTGAAAATTTTAAGATTTGCTTTCTGAAATTGTCATAGTATGTTGTATCCTAAGATGAGAAATTCACTTAGCGAATATTCATTTAAAGAAAGTGATCTTAAGACCTCAAATTTTCTTTTTTATTATTTCACTAACATGTAATTCATCCCAAATTCACAATAATAATAATAATAATAATAAATCAAACATTCAAAGATAACAGGAGTTTTGAGAAATTCACATACCTCTTGCGAATCGACCACCCCAAAACATCACTTTCCCATCCTCCTCCTCCTCATCAAACTCCCCATCCTCCTCTCCAAGCTCCCCATCCCCTCTATACCCCGGCTCACTCCCGTACCCCGACTCATTCCCCTGCATCATCATCACCACCTCACTCCCTTGAAACCCATACCCCCCAACGCTGTCCTTCTCAATATCCCTCCTCAAAACCCTAGTTTCACTCGCATCCGACCCCCAACTCCCCTCCCCATTAACAAACAGTTCCGCCGCTCGAATCCGTTCCCCTCCGCGACAGCGAATGTCGAGCACGTCCGCGTACGCCCGCCGATGCCCCGTGGTTCCCGCTGCGGCGCGCTGCCGTCGGAGACGGAATCGACCCTCGACGGGCGCGCTTCGCGATGGAACCAGCGTGCGCGTGGGCGCTAGCTGTCCTCTGAGGATCTTCGAGCAGGGAGAGCTTGGAGAGTCAAGATCGTCGCTACGGTTCGGGTCGGTGACGATCGGTCTGCAGGGTTTTTTAGGGTTGAAAGGGGGATCGAAGGGCTTCCAGGCGTGGAGCTGGAGGACGCAAGATTCGATCTTGGAGGTCACCGCCTTCGGAGTCATCAACGCATTGGAGAGATTTGGGGGAGGATTTTCCAAGGCTAGGGTTAGGGTTAGGGTTTTTTATGAGAAATTCTGGAGGACGGAGAAGGAGGTTATATATATATATATAGAGAGAGAGAGAGACGATTGCTGACCGCCCGTGCTCATACCAGGTTTTGATTAGGAATTTCGGGGGAGGCTGTATTTACTAAAAGGCCCCTCACGTTTTTTAACAAATTGCAGGCGGAGGGTTTTCTATTTCCACCGACGATAAGGTTTTTTAGATTTTATTTTTGTTTCGGGATTATTTTCAATATGGGACCCGCGGATTTTAGCGCGGATCGAGGACTTGATGCCAGCATGCACGATACTTATATCTCAGGATTTATTATAGCAACCGCTAGAAAACTGTTCGCTGTTAATGCCCCACAGGAAACTGACGGCGGGTGGGTTCCACGTGATAACAAGAGGGTTTATTGGTTGGAATAAATTGGTGCCGAATAAAAAAATTATTTCGGTGTAACAATTTTATTCTTTTAGGATATTTTAAGTGGAGTAAAGAAGAATAAAGTTAGATAATAGAATAATTTGAGCTTTTGATTTAACAATTCATGTGGGATAATTAATTTTATCTATTAATTACTTCTAAATTAACTTATCTCATTGGTTTAGTACATCATTTAGTATATTATTATAACATAAACATTATTTTATTATTATATTAAAATATAATGTGTACTATAATTACAAATTAATATATTAATTATTATATTACATTACATTATATTATATTATATTAGCATACTATACTATATAATAATTAATATATATAAGATCAATATATTTAATATAATATTTTAATAATATAATATATTATTTTATTTATATAAAAATATAATATGTTATACTATAATTAATAATTAATATTATTAATTATTATATTAGTATCCGAGTTATGTAATCAATTAATTAATATATAAACAATAATATTAATGAATACTTTAATAACATATTATGGGTGTGAATAAGTATATATATATAGTATCATAGATACAATATACTGATAAATATTAAAATATTTTTCTTTATATATATAATAAACTACAATTAATATTTGCCTATAATATATTATTATATTAATATATATATAATAATATAGTAGTATAAACCAACTATAATATTATCTATAATATTATATAATATTATAATAAAATATATCCTATACCTCATAATTACCTAATTTAACTATCTATATAATATTATTAAGATATGTTATTAAATATTAATATATGTTATTATATAATATTACATGTTATTAAAATATTAATATGTTATATAATAATATATTATACAATATTATCAATGTAATATTAATATATGTTATTATATAATATTGTTAATATATAATAATATATGATATTTAAATATTAATATATGTTATTAAAATATTATATAATAATATATGTTATTTATACAAAAATATAGTATGTAATACTATAATAACTAATTAATATTATATAATAATATATGTTATTAAAATATTATATAATATTATAATAAATATGTTGTACTATTATATAATATAGTATGTAATATTGCATAACAATATATAATAAATATCATAAAATAAATTTTACATATAAATTAAACTATAATAATTTTTTATTTTATTACATGATAATATAATATAATATATTGAATATATTATTACTTTATACTTTATATATCATGTCATATAATTATAATATAATTAGCATGTATTAGTTTAAGTAATACAAAATGGTTTGAAAATTATCCCAATTGCCTTCAAAGGGGAACAAAATTGTTCCAATATGAAGGATGGGGTAAATTTTTACTATTGGGATAAATTTTTGTATATGAGTGGGGTAATTTTATCCCAAGTGGTAAAATTATCTCACTAGTGTTCCAAAAAACCAATGATAATCATATTTTATTACAAATTTATACCCTCATTATCTATTTTTTATGAATAAATATACCACTAATAATTATTTTATCTTTTAATTGCAGGTTAATGAAGAATAAATCTCAAACTCTCATCTCTCAACAAAGGCCTCTTGATTTAACACCAAAGCCCAAAGCCAAAAGCAAAAGAATGAAGCCCATGAAGCCAAATAATTTCTTTTAATATTTAATGAAACATTGAAGCCCAAAATGTCAAGAAAATGTCCAAAAGTCCAAGGCCAAGAAAAATAAATATACCATCAAGTTTTTGGCGTCGTTGCTGGGGAAGGTGCTTAAGTAGGTTTTAATTATTTTGGTTCTTTAACTTGTGTGTTTATTATGAAGGAAACGCTTAGAGCTTGAAGATTGTGGATTTGAGAACTAGGATTTGAAGATTTTCTTGTAGGTAACTCTTCTTTCTAGAATTTTTAATTCCACCCTTTCACTATTTCTTCACAATTAGAGACAATTAGGACTTAAAAAAAAATTCGTTGACCATAATAAAATTCACCCTCCACTTTGACATTTACTAACAAGATAATAAATTCAAATAATTTCCCCCTTCTCATTTGTTGATTGTTAACCCTAATTAAAAAAAAATTCTTTTCCATCCTTTTTAGTTGCTTTTAATTCATAGGGTTGCATTTTATATTGTTAGTAGGAATTCAACAAGTGATTTGAGCATCTTGATTTGGCACACACTTAAAAATATTTTTAAGGGCAAAACCTCATAATCAAGATAAGGTGAGGGATTTCATCACCCTTTTCTTAGCCCAAAAATCACTAATTCCTCACTACACCACCCAAGCCTAATAAAACTCATTAGATGTTGGTCCTAAGGATTCGAGCTCAATAAGGAACAAAGAATCCTTAAGTGAACCGGTTTAAGTTTTCTTGGATTAGTTGATGTCTAAGGCAAGGTTTAGGGGTTGCGTAAAGCGCTCCGTAAGGAACGAGGTACTTAAGCGCTCCGCAAGGAATGAGGTACTTAATTGATCTTTGATCACCCTCTAGTACTATCCTTACCTGGCTAACTATCCGGGTAAAACTTTAATCTTTTCACTTTAGGAGTTTTTGGTTAGGAGCTAGTCTAGTTGAGTTAGGCTTAACCCTAGAGTTAGAGTGATTGAAAAGTGATTGCTTTTGATTTGTTTTAGTTAGGATTTTCCTTTTTCTTCTCATAAAAAAACTAATTTTTTTTCCTTAAAAAAAAATTAAAAAGAAGTTGTTTTGGGTGTATGCAAACGTGGATTAGGGATAATACACATCGATTAATTCGTTTTGAGTTGTTTTGGGTGTATGCAAACGTGGATTAGGGATAATACACATCGATTAATTCGTTTTGAACAAATTCTAGAAATGACATATCCTAATTCACCGGATTAGGGATAATACACATCGATTAATTCGTTTTGAACAAATTCTAGAAATGACATATCCTAATTCACCCGTTCTTCAAGATATGTGCTATCCCACTAGGAATGTAATCCCCTCTTGCATTAGGCTCCCCGAGGCAAATGGAACTAACTTTGAGCTTTGACCGCAATATATCAACATGCTTCCAAAATTTCTAGGGAATGAAACTGAAAATGCATATATTTTTATCTTAGAATTTGAAGAAGTATGTATGATGATTAAAATAAGAGAATTAACTGAAGATGTAGTCAAACTCAGATTTATTCCTTTTGCCCTTAAAGACAAAGCAAAAAAAATAGCTATACAGCTTACCCATAAATTCCATCACAACTTGGGAGGAATTTATCACCGTTTTTCTTAAAAAAAAATTTCCGATCCATAAAACGGTGAAGCTAAGAAATAGCATCATGAATTTTAAAATCGTCCCGAGAGAACCTTTTTGGAAGTATTTTGACCGATTTAAAGATCTTCTTATCAAATGTCCTCATCACGGTTTAGAAAAATGGCGATTGTGCCAAATAATTTATGAGGGATTAGATTATTCTTCAAAAACTTCCTTAGAGTCAATGTGCCACGGGGATTTCATGAGGAAAAACGCTGATGAAGCTTGGGAGTTTTTAGAGAGTCTTTCTAAAAAAAACCATGCAATGGGAACACTGTGATGACCGAGTGTCATCAGTTCCCCAACCCAAGTCCAGTGGTATTTCCTTGGAGTCGAACATTGAATCTGAAGCTAAGATGGCCACAATCATGCATAGGTTAAAAGCCTTAGAAATCAAGGAAAGAGCCCCGACTCAAATCAATCATGTTTCAGCCTCAGGATGTCACAACTGTCTGTCACCATCTCATGTTTCAGAAGAATGTCCTCTCTTAGAAAATAATCAGCCATTAGGACAGGTCAACGCTACATTCCAGCATTACGTAAATGATCAATTCTCTCCAACCTACAACCCAGGTTGGAGAAATCACCCAAACTTTGCATGTAATCAGAGAACTCACTTCAGAACTCAAAATTTCACTCTCTCTTCAAACCAACAATTTCCTAGGGGAAACACAGTTCCTTTCAATTCCCATCCATAATTTTAACAACCCAATCTGCCGTATCAAAATCAGTCTCCTCTTCATCAAGCTGTAATTCAGACTCCTCATAATCCAGATCAGGATAAACGTCTCAATGTCTTGGAAAGGGGTTTGGAAACCATAATTAAGGCCTCCACTCAAACCACGAATATGTTGACTCAAACGTCCAGCACTCTGAATTCCTTTATGCAATCAACCGGACAAATGCTCAACTCCGACACTCAAGCTATAGCTAGAT